CTTTGCACAGGCTAGAACACTGGACCAAATCTAATAAGATAAAATTCAATAGGAATAAGTATGAAGTATTACATTTGGATTTTTTAAAAAAACGGTATCGCAAGTACAAGATGGGAGAGGCATAGTTAGATAGCAATTCGTCAGTGATTTTAGTGGATTATAAGTTTTGTTGCTGTTTTGTGTTCAGGTGACCAGGAAGTGGTATCAACAACCTAAGCCTTTAGTCCCTGCACCCATCAAATCTACAGGATCATTTCAATATCTTTTGAGGAAGACCTAGCCAAATTTACCTGGACACGGCAGTTAGAATATTGTTTCTACCATATCACCAGCAAAACTTAGATCTTCGATGAGATAGTCCTCCATGTAAAGAGGGTGCCCAGGCCAGCCAACTCTTCATTACTCACCTGGTTGTACTCCTTTGGATTTCTCCATCATGAGCCCAGATCTGTACCTGACCTCTTTCCCCCTCACTCCATTTTTTTTAGCTTCCTTTGTGTGTTATATGGGGGAATGGGACTTGGGGGTAGGGACTAGCTTTTTTTGGTATTTGTATCCCCTTGGCACAGTACCTGGCACATAGTAGGTGCTTACTAAATTTTTATTGGCTGACAGTCCTGACATTTTAGGAGTCAGTAGTTCTTATGTATTCTGTCTTGTCAAGCCATAACTGAAGTTTGTGTTCAGTTCTGGGACCTACATTTTAGGAAGACATTGATAAATTGGAGAGATTCCAGAATAATGAAGGAGCTAAGATGGTGATATATATGGCTCTGTTAAAGGACCTGGGAGGGGTAATGAGTTGACTAAAAGAAGGGAAGATGGTGGCATCATAGCTATCATCAAGTGTTTGAAATGGGTCTTGTGGAAGAAGGGCATTTTCGCCTAGAATCTGACAGAGTTCTTGTGCTCATTCTAGAATCTGAGAAATATTTGGACCTTTGGAACATATCTTCCTCCAATACAGGGGGTTTGTTTCTCTCATATAGTACTACTGAGGCATTAAGGGAAGTTGGAATGGGGGAACTTTTAAAAAAATAATGTCTTATTCTTTCCCCCAATTACATATGAAAACAATTTTTAACATTTATTTTTTAAAATTTTCTCCCTCCATCCATCCCACCTTTTCTCTTTCCTTACAAGAGTAAGCAATTTAATATAAGTAATACATGTGCAATCATGCAAAGATATTTCCATATTAGCTATGTTGTAAAAGAAAACACAAACCAAAAAAAAAAACCCTGAAAAAAAAAAGAGAAAAATAGTATGCTTCGATTGCAATCAGACTCCAGTTCTTTTTTCTGGAGGTGGGTAGCATTTTTCTTCTTAAGTCTTTTGGAATTGTCTTGGGTCATTTTTATTGCTGAGAATAGCTAAGTCATTCACAGTTGATCATTGTATAATATTGATGTTACTATGTACAACGTTCTCCTAGTTTTGCTTACTTCACTCTGCACCAATTCATATAAAGTCTTTCCAGGTTTTTCTGAAAGCAATCTGCTTACCATTTTTTATAGCACAGTGGTATTCACTACGATCATATACCACAACTTGTTCAGCCATTCCACAACTGATGGGCATCACCTCAATTTCCAATTCTGTGTCATCGCAAAGAGGGCTGCTATAAATATTTTTGTACAAATGGGTCCTTTTACCTTTTCTTTGATCTCTTTAGGATACAGACCTAGTAGCATTATGGCTGGGTCAAAGGGTTTACACAGTTTTATAGCCCTTTGGACATAGTTCCAAATTGCTCTACAGAATGATTGGGTCAGTTCACAACTCTACCAATGGTACATTAGTGTACCAATTTTCCCACATCCCAATTTGAAGAACTTTCAAGAAAATTATGCACAAAGGCATAATTGGCTTGGCTCTGAACCCCAGTCATCTAGACCAATTCTCTCATTTTATAGCTGAGGCAACTGAGTCCCTAAGAAATGAAATAATTTGCCCAAGGTCATACAGAAAAAAAGTAGAAGAAAATAGGACTAGAACTGAATTGGGAGCACCCAAGTGCTCTGACTGAAAAAACAGCACTATTTCCCCAATACCGCATTCCTGCCAAAGAAAATAGCCTGAACTGTGCCCGCAAGCTCCAGTTCTCAGTCAGCTTAAAAGCTTGTTCCCAGAGTGCTACATCCTCCTTCTGTAGTGCATGAAGAGTACCTACAAGGCTCTCCTGTCCAGGAGACAGTTTGAATAGCTGAGTGCAGACTAGCCCACAGGAGTAGAAGGCAGGCATAGTGATGCTTATGGATGGTGAGGATGTGTATGCAGGAGAGGGATTGAGAATTAGAGATGAGTTGTTGGGAAATTTTTCATCCTTGGTTCCTTAAAAACCCAGGAAAAATCTCACCCATCAGCAGGTCTGATGATAAGACCTGTAAAAAGTCAAATAAAATAAGTAATCAAACCAAAAGGAAAAGAAATTTATTAGTATGCTGAGGAAGACCGCTTGTTGGTAGCAGCTTTAGAGGTACAGATTTGGCTTATACAATGTTTTCAGATCCACCTAAGGTACACAGCCAATCAGCAGCATTCAGCAACATTTGAATGGACCAATGGGTTACAGTCTTCGCATTTAGGAATGGTAGTCTCAGGGCAGCTAGGTGGCACAGTGGATAGAGCACCGGCCCCAAAATCAGGAGGACCTGAGTTCAAATGCGGCCTCAGACGCTTACTAGCTGTGTGACCCTGGGTAAGTCACTTAACCGCAATTGCCAAAAAAAAAACCCAACAAAAAAAGGAATGGTGGTCTGTCGGTCTACTTGTTTGTGGAGCAAGTCTCTAGTGTGTGTTGTGTGAAGCTAAAAAGTGCTGTGTATGACGGAGTTTTGTGTATTCAGCATAAGGGGATGCAATTCAGTCAGGTTTTATTATTTAGTCTGCAGTAGAATAGGGAGAAAGGCAGGTGCAGTTCTGTCGAACAGCACATTCTGACAACAAGGTTCTTTTTCCTCTACGAGGTCAAGTAGAACCAGCTAATGCTCATTTTGGGCAGGTGCTTTGCCCAGAAAATTAGATAGTCTTGCAGGGAGATTGAAGATGAGGTCGAGGTAGAGGCCAGAAGAGTGAAGTCCCCTGAAGTGGAGCTAAATGGGTAGAATGGAAATTTTCAGGTGGGTAGAGGGTGGGTAAGAAGAGAAACAGGCAGGCTCCCACCTCTGAAAATTAGGAGAAACCTATAAAAGTTATACATTCCTTGAGGACAAGGACTGTGGTTTTTTTGACTTTGTATCACAGGGGCCTAACCCAGTGTCTGGCACTTAACAGGCATTTAAGAAATAATGTAGAATGAATAAACTAGAAAGGAAATCCTCACTTAGCTTCTGTGCCCCTGAGCTAGTGTACTGGCAGCTTCCCAGGTGAACTCCTTGGGTTTTAGAAACCTGAGGCTAAGCTTCCTGGCCCAAGTACAATTGTTTTTGGAACGCCAGCCCTTGGATTTCCTCACAGAATTAATATAGAAGGAATTCTCAATCAACTTCCTGGCGGGATAGGGTCGGAGAGGGAGGGAGAGAATGGCTGCTTTCTGAGCCCTGTCCTTTATGTTCTGGGACAACTCAAATGTTCTAGAACCAGGCTTCCTCAAGAAATTTTGGGGGATGATGATCTGCTGCAGAGGGAGGGTGCCAATCCACAGATTTGCAAATATCAGTAAGACTGCCCCTTCGCTTACCTTCCCAGTCTATGTAACCTCCACCTACCATGTATTCTTCAATCCAGTGACACTAACCTCCTTGCTATTCCTTGAAGAAGATATTTGGTCTTCCAACACCAAGCATTCTCACTGGCTATCTCTGATGTCTAGAATTCTCTCCCTCTTCATCTCTTTCTCCTGGTTTCTCTGGTTTCCTTCCAGTCCCAGCTAAAATCCTTCCTTCTGCAGAAATCTTTTCCTGCTTAACTCTAGTGCTTTCCTTCTATTTATTATTTCCTATTTATCCTTTGTATAGCTTGCTTTTACATAGTTGTCTCCCCTATTATATTGTGAATTCTGTGAGATCAGGGAATGTCTCTTGAATTTCTTTTTATCCCCAGTGCTTAGAATAGTGCCTGGCACATAGTAACCACTTAATAAATCCTTGTTGACTAACTTTGGCTCTGCTTACTTCACTTCACTTTGCTTTTTTTTCTTCTTCACTATATTCTTCAACCCTCAACTGATTGACCAACCGTGGCTTTATCATGACAGCAAAAAACCTGGATCGGAATACAGTGGACCATAGTTCTGAGAAAACATCAATGATCCCATTGATGCTCATCTAGATGGTGGTGGCCATGGACTTAACCAGTTGGAGCCACCAGTGCTTTCTGGTCAAGAGCTGGATGAACTCCTAATCCAGCCATCCTATTCTATTGTCATGGTGGGCTTGATGACCTCATAACCCTAAACTGATTAGAGAGAGAGAGAGAGAGAGAGAGAGAGAGAGAGAGAGAGAGAGAGAGAGAGTGAGAGAGAGAGTGAGAGTGAGAGAGAGAGAGAATGAATCAGCTCAAGTCAAACTTGGACTTGTAGTGGGGCTAAGCACCCTCCTCTGCTAAGTAATCAGTTCTAACCAAGGGAGAAAATTGGCTAATCTTAATATGGAGTTACTCTCCTCAGATCATCTGACCTAGCAGGAGTCCTCCTAGTTTTGTATGCTTTATTATTCCAGATCTGTTGTTTACCTTTGGACTCTACCTCTCAGAGATGTATATCCTTAAAACCATAGCCATGATGGATTCTGGGTCCACAGGAGAATTATTGACTAGGGCTTTGGAAGGCATGAGTGTAACCTAGTCTAGGCTGAGGCTTATTTCATGGTTACTGTGACCCTGTTCTGTAGCCAAGTGATATGTGACACCCAGAACTTGGGCACAGTTGGCAGTGACTATCTGGAAGAAATTGTCCTAGAAATCTCTAGCCCTGTGCTAGATTTTTACAATCCATGAAATAGTGATCTGGCTCTCGGCCACTGACTTCTGTTACCCAAAATTAAAGAGGGCTTCCTTACCTTTTGGCTCCTCTCTTTCTTCTCTCCCCTCAGTCCTTTCCATATTCCACCACCCCACACTCTTTTTTCCTTTGCCTTGCTTTTCAATCTGAAAAAAAAAACACACTCAAAACTGCTCCCCACCAGGCTGGGAGCTGGTGCCTAATGTGACTTTAAATGTCACTCCATACAACCAGGAAATCCAATGCCCTGCGGCTGACTGGCTGAATGGCAGCATTGTTTCTAGGGCCAATCTCTTTTGTCTGCTCGGTATCTCAAGTGACACATTTGGACACAAAGCTTCTAAGGCAGGAATATCCACACTCCTAGGGGTTCCTAATTTGGGGGTCAGGTTTATTATTTCAAAGTCTTCTTTCATGTGATAACGTTTTACTGCTAAATTTGGATATGAAGAAACAGAATCTTTTTTTTTAATGGAAAATTACAGCCTCCTGGAATAAAAAGGGAATCCTCTGTTTTAATTCCCTGCTGACTCTGATGCTCTCTTGCCATCAAGTTTCTTAAGCTCTGTGAAATATTTGTCATTATGAATTTGAAATCTTCCTTTATTAGGCAGAGTAAATAATGCCACAGGTCTTTGGGGAAAAAAAATTTCTTAGGGAATATAGGGGGAAAGACAGGCTCCCTTTTCTCACTGCCTCGCATCCTTAGTTCAGTAAATTCAGTGGCCACTTAGCTAGAGCAGAAAGAATGGATTAAGGAGCTCCCTCAAATAAGGACCTCGGCCTAAAGGTAGGATGTTAAGAATGCAACATTCACATTTAATTCCCTGTTGTTTTTCCCTAGTTGCAGCTAGTGATAGTTACCAGTTGGGAGTCAGGAAAACCAGAGTTCAATCCCATCTCAGACACTTCCTAGCTTTGTGACCCTGGGCAAGTCACTTAACTTCTCTCAGCCTCAGTTTCCTCATTTGCAAAATGGGAATGAGAATAGTGCCTATCACACAGGGTGGATCAAATGAATTAATATGTGTAAAGTGCTTTACAGACTTTAAAAGCCTATGTAAATGCTAACTATTGTAGTAGCTATTAGTAGTAGAAATAAATTCCTTCAGAACAGAGATTGTTTTCTTTTTGTCTTTTTATACCTAGTGCCTGGCACAGTCCTTAATAAGTGCTCCTTATAGACAGACAGCCTTGCTGCTGGGATCAGAAACCAGATTCTAGAGATTCTTCCCTCCCCCCCTTTCCACCCATGTTCCAGTGTTTTGATTGTCCTGATTGGTCACTGCTTCATCTGGCACACTATTCCAGACAGACTCTAGCTATAATTCGGGCCACTCCCCACTCCTTGGTCCTTTGTCCCTTGCCTAGAGAGAAATCTTGCCACCAGCCCCTCCCTACTAGGTCTGGAACCACAAGAGAAATCAATTCTGCCTGTGTTCCATTTCTTATTCCATTTCTTGCCCCTCCCTGGCCACCCTCTGTGTGTTGTCTCCCCCTATGAGAAGATAAGCTCTTTGATGACAAAGACTGCTTTTGTGTTTGCATTTTTATCCTCTGTGTTTAATACAGTGCTTGGCACATAGCAAGCACTTAGTAAGTCCTTCCTTCCTTCCTTCCCTTGTTCTTTCCACCCTCCTTTCCTTCCTTCCTTCCTTGCATGTCATGGCATCACCTCCCTGACATCATGGTCCTCTTCAAAAACGAAGTACAAACAAAAACAGCATATTATACTCTTGGAGTTGGAAAGGACTACTCCAACCTATTATTGGATGGAAGAATCTGTCAGAGCTGTTGATTTCAGCCTCTATATTTTCAGTGATATAGAGTTCAGTACATTTTGATGAGGCACCTCATTCCAATATCAACTCCAGACAGCAATGATTCTTAGGAAATTCTTCTTAGGGAGCTGAGCATTAGGATAGAGAGTCAACCCTAAGGATCAGAAAAATTTGTGTTCGAGGCTTGACTCTGATCCGTACTGATTCTGTGACTCTGGATAAGTCATTTAAGTTTTCAGTGCTCTAAGTGACCACCTAAGACCATAAGTTGTAGAAAATTGACCTGCATTGGTAGAGGGCGTTTCCTATGCTAATAAAATCAGAAGTTCAATCCCTCTCCCTATCTGAGACAGATCTGTAACTTCCAGCCATTGTGTCCTTTGAACCCAAGTAGAAACATATGGCCCTTTCCATAAGATAGCTCTTCAAATATTTGGAGATGCCTCTTATCTAATCCAATCCATTTCAGTCAACTCAAGTCAGCAATCAACTAGCATTTATTAGGCACTTAGTATATGACACACCTTGTGCTAAATACTGGGAATACAAATATAAGTGAAGACTGATCTTGTTTTCAAGGAACTTATGTTCTCCAATGTCACCGATCCCTCCATTAGGTGGAAGACTACACAAAAAGAAAACTGAAAAAGGTGGGGAGAAGGAGAGAGGAGAAAGACAAAGGTCCCCATAGCAGGGGGTTATGGTAGAAGAAGTCCAGAGTCCAGTAATGAAGAATGAGGCATACCTGGCCTGGACTCCCTCTTTAAATGGAGGTTCTGGGATAAGCTATCCAATAGGAGGGAAAAGTACCAGTGTGTGAATTCCAGGGCTGGAGTAAAGCTTCAGGATGAAAATCTGGTACATGGTAGAAGAAGTTTTCTTTTGTTTTCCTTTTCTGTGGAATCTTGGCTTTTCAGATGTTTATATTCAGAACAAGATAAAGCCTTCTATCACCATAATTAAGGCCCCCAGAGCACCAGTCCTGCTTTTAGCCCAGCCCCCACAGCCAGTTCAGGAAAGTCACCCCCGGTGGCTTAGCAATTGGTTTTAAGATCTTTCAGCCCCTGCACCCTTCACAGCCACAAGCACTACAAAACAGAAAAGAAAATTCTTGTCACCTAAGACCTCGATATTGTCAAATGATTCAACTAAAAAACCCAAAAAACCTTTGGTCTATTTTTATTAATGAAAATGGCATCAAAAAAGATGTATTCCCACTTTCTTGACTGCTTTACCATAAGAGTCACCAACCTTTCCATGTGATCTGCAGCTGACACCTCCCCTATGTGTTTGGTTTGGGGGGGGCATTTTTGTTGAGGCAATTGGGGTTAAGTGACTTGCCTAGGGTCACACAGCTAGTGTCTTTGTCAAGTGTGTGAGGCTGGATTTGAACTCAGGTCCTCCTGGCTCCAAGGTTGGAGCTCTATCCACTGTGTCACCTAGCTGCCCCAACCTCCCCTATGTGTTGTCTCCTTCATTAGAAAGTGAGGTCCTTGGGACAGCTAGGTGACTCAGTGGATAGAGCCCTAAAGCTAAGTGTCTTCTCCCCCTCCCTTCTCCTCCTCCTCCTCCTCTTCCTCCTCCTTCCTCCCCCTCCCTTCTCCTATTCCTCCTCCTCCTCCTCCTCCTCCTCCTCCTCCTCCTCCTCCTCCTCCTCCTCCTCCTCCTCCTCCTTCTTCTTCTTCTTCTTCTTCTTCTTCTTCTTCTTCTTCTTCTTCTTCTTCTCTTCTTCTTCTTCTTCTTCTCTTCTTCTTCTTCTTCTTCTTCTTCTTCTCTTCTTCTTCTTCTTCTTCTTCTTCTTCTTCTTCTTCTTTTTCCTCCTCCTCCTTCTTCCTAGCACTATTCATTCTAATTTCATTGCCCCTGATCCTCCCTCCATCCCAGAATGTTCTACCAGTTTCTCTATCTAAACTCTTCAATATATACGTTTAAGAAAACATTTATTAAGCACATATAATGTTCAAGGTACTATTAGGTGATAGTGATATGAAGATGAAAAATGACATAGATCCAATACCAAAGGAATTAGTTTGATAATGGGGGTGGGAGGTCATGACATACATACAAATAAATATGAGACAAATATAGCACATGCTATGGATTTCTTCTCCCAATTCCCATTCCCAAAGTTAGGTACCCAAAGCTCGGCTGCTACCTCTCCCCTTAAGGCTCTAGGGGTAGCCCTGAGAGGTTGGGGAGGGGTGTTTCTTTTAATACTGTAACTCCCAAGCTTCCACCAATGTTTTTTTTTTCATGGTTATCAGTTGACATCATGTAATTAACCAGACTGAATTAACTTTTAGTGAGGAATATTTGCTAAAGTGGTAGAGTAAGAACAGCTACACATTCCCTCTCTTTCCCCATCTCCCCAAAGTTAGTGATATACTCATTCTCAAGTACATACAGAGTCCAGGAGAAAATGGGTGCAAGCTTAGAGAACACATATGGCAAAGGAGTAGGTAGCTCATATCTCCTGGTTTCTGAAAATCCTTTCCTCCTCTCCACTGGGGTGCTCATGAAGTTTTGATTAAATTCAGTGCAGCTTCTCTGCTCAGCTCCTCATAGAATCTTGAACCTGATTTTCATCATGTGTCCTTAGCTCCTGATGCAGATACTGTATCAGCTTTTCTGGGTATTGTGTTAGAACTAAGATCCAAATAGAAAGTCTCAAATCATCTGATGCTCCAAACTTCACAAGGCTTTGATACTTCATCCAGGCTTTCAAGGACTTCTAAATTGATTGAGTACCTTTTGCATTTAGACAATACACACTTACTATTGTGATAGCACTGTGGATAGGTAGAAAGAAAAAAACACAGTCCCTTGTCTTTAAGAAGTTAAAGTTTGAATGGGGGAGACAACATGCAAACAACTATATACACACAAAAAATCCAACCAGCATCTTGTAACTTACTTTTACTGGGGGTATGATAATTGATTGATTGACTCAGTGTGCCCTTACTCTCATGCAAGAAAGAATATAGTAGGGCCAAAGAAGTTCTATGAGACAGTTAAGGGTGGGGAAATCACTGCCACCTAGAGAATCAGAGGAAGAAAATTCATAGAGGAGATGGCATCTAGGTGTGCTCTTAAGTGAAGGGAAGGGCTTCAACTGATGAAGATTTGGTGGGGTTGGGGAGGTCTTTTTCCAGGCATATGAGGCAAACTGAGCAAAGGCACAGGAAAGGAAGAGGCTAGGAGAAGAATGGGGGTTGGATAGCAGTCTATTTTGGTTGGAACATAGAATATGTGATTGAGCCACAAAGGATTCTCTTTCTTTCCTTCTTTCTTTCTTTCTTTCTTTCTTTCTTTCTTTCTTTTTTCTTTCTTTCTTTCTTTCTTTCTTTCTTTCTTTCTTTCTTTCTTTCTTTCTTTTGTTTTCTTTGTCTTTCTTTTCTTTCTT